AAAAATCTCATGCTCAGAAATATCAGTATTATTAAAAAAGCTTGTTAGTTCAATTTCTGAAACAGTTATTTAAATCAATAATTACTGTCTACATTGGGCCTCTGACCCAGAGTTAAAGTCAGAATTTCTCACAATCCACCAAACAACATTATTATCAAGACTTTTAACTAAATTAAATTAATCCTATGTTTCTAGATGTGGACATTTTTCATACCATCAGATGACCAGAACCATCAAGAAAAACCCATGTATAAATATCTGGCACAGATAGTTTTTAAAATGTGGTAACTCTGAAAGTGAATTCAAATTTAATTCATTCAAAACATATATTCTGTGATAAATAGTGTACATGGAGCCTCAGAGATGTGGCACATGCAAATAAAGCAGAAATTTCTTCATGATTTTCTTGTCACTCTTCACCGCAACTCTATATACCCCCTTTTTAAATACTCTACTAGCATCTAATATAAATGGACCTTCTCACAACAATTCCCATAATAAGGACAAATTTTCTAACCAGAAGGACCTTTCCAACTAGCTGGAACCACATTTTACAAGGACTATTAATTGAGCCTGTTGCAATTAGATAATTAATGTGAGGAAAAGTATTTGACAAAAAGGGTGGATTTAAAATTTTTAATGATGTATCATGAATTAGACAGTAGAATGCAATGAGGAGCTCAGCTCTCTATTCCCCATATTTCTTGCTTAAAAAATTAACAGTCCAAAGGTTTTCAGTGGCTGTTAGGAACATTTAAATGTACAATTTCCTGGTCTTAATTCGAAGAATAATAAAACACTTTCATGGGGTGTCACACATGGAAATGCATTAATTCTCTCAGCAGATGTGGGCTTATATTTAAAAAGAGTACATCTATCAGATGCTACATTTTTCACAGATGCAGAAATCCTTCAGTTCTATAGACTTTTCCTTTTCTTCATAACCATTTCAAAGTCATTTACCTATGAATTGCTCCATCTGAATTCCAGTGGTTTGAGTTAGCTATACTGACACAGTCCTGGAGGATGGCATGAATTGTGCTTCTGTTGGTTTTTCACGAAACAATTCCTCTGACAGCAGCCTGGATTTGATGGAGTAATTGGCTGACCCTACAGCTGTGACTGAAATACCCACCCAAAGTCAAGGACAAATGGAATTGCCTCTGAGACATCTTAATGCTCAAAGAATTATGGATTTTCCACTTTGACATATTAAGGTTTATACATACTGTGTTTTTCTTTTGTCTGAACCATTTTCCTGTTCAGATATTGAATATTTTTCATATATAAATATAATTTTTGGAAGCTCAAAAAAAAGGTTTTTTATCTACCTTTATTCTTTTTAAGATATACACTTATGAGAACTAACAACATCATTTCCATTAGCCTGCAGTATGATTCTGTCACTATTTCAGAATGGAACAGTTGAGGCAAGTACTTTATAATCTTATTATTATATCATTGGGTTTTTTGGTTTGTTTTGTTTGGTTGGGTTCTTTTAATCAGTATGATTTATAATCCAAAGTCTTGTCTATATAGTAGAACGCCCCCCCATGATCTGGTGCAGGCTGAAAGCTCACAACAGACAGTGAAGTGAAAGGATTGGACACTTTTTCTGAGGTCTTACATGATGTGCAGACAATACTGCAGGGGCATTTCAGAGTGTCAGGTGTGTTCAGGAAGCAGGGCATGCCTATTTTGTATGCATCCTTCCTAAACCCCAAAGTTTTCTCTGTGCTTGTATAGCTTATTCCTGATTGTTACAGCTCAGCTTCCAGTCCAAGTTATTGACCTGTGTGAATTAATGAGTGAGCAGACATAGAAGAAATGCACACACATAGATGAAAAGACAGTGTAAACTCTGTAAGGTCTTCAGCTCATTTGAGGAACAAATTATTATTCTGATTTTGTTCTGTGAGGTATATTGGAACTTTCAATCTTAATTAAATTATACAACTTTACTAACATGATAGTATAGCAATAATATTACATTTCTTTATGCAAATTATAACAAAAATTGACCATGTGCTCAAACTCATCATGTCAGACTGCCCTTCCATTCCTGAACAGACAGTAAAAACATATTTTAATGTAATATGAGGCTGTCACTGATGTCATTGTAAGAAGATCAGATAGAGTCTGTGTTGGCAAGCTCAGGAAAAGAAAAACAGGGAACAAAAAAGGCCTCTGGGAGCTGCCGTCTACTTGGAGCTGCTCAAGAGGAAGCATATGTACGAGTTAGGGCGTCTGTTCTCTCTCCTCCTCCAAACAGTTTCTGACAGTGTAAGGTCCTTAAAGTTCAATTCCACAGGAAGAGCAACAGGAAACACCTGAGATCCAACAAAGTAAAAAGCCAATAGAACCAGCTGCAGTTGCCTCCCCCTAACCAGCAACCCTGTGGTGTGCTCCTGGCACCTGCTTTTCAGTGAGCCCTCAGTGGACAAAGTATTTTTCGGAACCAGCTTGTGGGTTTTGTGAACAAAAGTAGGTCCATGTTTACTTATCACCTTTCTGAAGCCCCTCTTTGCACATCATGCTAATTTTGGAGGCACTGCATAGCTAATCCAATGTTGTAGGGGAGCCAAAAGGCCTCTCTCCCCACTAAACGTAGGGAATGCAGCTTACCCAGCTGGAAAGTCTGTGTATCGCTGATCTGTATCACTCAAAATTTTATGTTCTAGATCCACTAATTACATGTGGTATGAGATTACAATTTGTTCTCCCCTGACACCCACTTGGTGAGTTTGGGGAGACCTGACAAATCCCTTCTGGGGTCTTCCACAGCCAGTGGAGATGTCAGGAATTCATCACTCCACCCCTGAATAGTTTTTATCTGCTAAGGTGCACTCCACAGTCATCCAAACCTTGCTGTGAACATGTTGCCTTCTCTCTGAGTCAAAGGCACATTCCTGTTAGGGCTTGCACCACAAAAAAATTGTGTGTGCCACTGTATTTACCCTGTTGCTTGAGTATCTGTAATTGCTGCAGTTGTATCATTTTGAAAAATCATCCTCATTCATCAGTCAAGTGAAGTTTCCAGATTGCAGGGACCATGAGAAATCTTAGAAGGCTCCATTCTAAAATATACTCACAAAACAAATGCCAAGGAAAAAAACATAAAGGTGAAAAGTTTATTTAAAGTCTTTGGTTAACATGACAGAGTCAGGTAAATTTTCTATGCAAATTTCTTGGTCTTCACCCAAAATAGGTAGTCATAGGTAGCAGCTACTACTTTTCCTATTAATGCTATTGTGCTTCTAATACCCAAAATACCTTCAGTTCTCATTAATCTCAGGAGAAATCTGTGATTTAAGTGAATTTACTTAGAGATTAATCTGGTAGAATAAAAGGCAGGGTAGGGAGGAGGGGGAAGGGAAAGTTGGGGAAGAGCACTTTTTCTAAATCCACTGTTTACTTTTAAAATAAGATTTTAAATTAGCAAAAATTGGAAGAAAATAATTTTGGAGATAGAATGTCTTAGGTCACTTAAGTGTAGCAAAAATGTGGAGAAGCTTCTATCAGCAGTTTTGTTACTTGAAATTACTACAAATACAGTAAAGTCAGCTTTGTAGGGAACTTGGACTCCATTCAATTTTAGTGAAAACAGTAAATAAAAGAAAAAACAAACCTATTGATTGAAGTCGGATTTTGAATAGTACATTTTTTTATTTAAAATTGTTGATTGACAGTAACCTATGCTATCACTACCAAATATGTCCATATCTTTTCAAAATGAAAGCTGAGCTACATGTCTTAACAGGAATCTTGACAAATAACATACAGTTAGCTGTTGCTTAACATAGAGTAACTCTGCCCTTGTCCATCATTAATCTGCCCTTGTCATGTTGCATAACTAAGCCTGGGAAAATACAGGAGCCCAAGGCACACCCAAGAAAGAAATGAAAGCCCAGTAAGCAAATGAGCTTGTGCTAATCATCACATAAGAATAAATTTAGAAAGCATGATGATTCGAACACAGCTAAGGAAAGTTCTGAAAATCTGTTCTCTTATTGAGGAGAAGGAGATGGAGGAAAAACATTATGTGAAAAAAAAATTAATTTAGAAGCCTACTTGTATATAAATCTTTTAGTGGGATAAATAACACTGGGAAACACAGAAATACTATAGACCACTGTGTCCAAATGTGACTGACCCAGAAGGAGTTTGATGCATTTCAGAGGAGGGGAATTGTGCAGGTACTCTGAACTTCCCAAGCTGGAAGGACTGAAATGGTAACAGGCTCATACAGATCAGCTGAGCACTGGCTCTGACTCCTTCCCACCTATTGCCTCAGGCCCTCTGCAGTCAGAAATTGCAGGGTTAGGAACATCTTGGGCATGCCCTTCACACTGAAAGTTGAGAAGGAGCTCCTGTTGGAGCTGAATTTTAGTTGTCAGCTCAACTTCTGCCTGCAAGGCTGTGGACAGTAGGCTCAGGATTAGGGAAATTTTCAAACAAGGCATATATCTCACTGAGACAATAAGAAAATATATAGTTTTCATACTTCTCAGCAAACAACTTGATTTGACCACAGGAAATATAGCTAATATAATACACAATGACCAGCCACAGTTCCTGATCTAACTTAGCTTCTAGCTTTAAATGAGCCTCTATAAAGCTTGGAAGTTACCTTAATATTCTCTAGGTCACATACTTATAACTTCAGACAACTTTAGAAAGTTATCCAGGAAAATAAAAATCCCACCTAGAAGTGAATCTAAGCTAATACCTGCAAGTAACTGCAGGCATTTACAGATCAGGAGTTGATATTTGAACTAGCGGTCTAGACAGCCCTGATAGTGAAGAGAAATAGGTATTTCTCAGTGCCACTCATTATTTCCTAACACAGATTTATAAAACAGGCATGAGAAAACTCGGTATTTCCAGTGACTGTTTCTCCCCACAGACTACATGATGAGGCTAAGGCCAAAATGTAAGTGTTTCTGTAAACATCTAACAGTAGGTGATAATGAGATCCATCTCCACTAAACAAGGCTTACCTTGCTGCACTTGCTGTCCATTTTCTGTTTTATGTACTCCTTGTGCATTGCTTGGATGCTGTTCAATTGTTTTGATGGTGTGTTAAAATATAAAATGTTTCAGAACTCCATGTCTTATTCTGGAAAAAACAGTGAAACAGAGAGCCATTACACTCATTTTAGCCATCTTGCATCATTTCAGGTAGAGATTACACTTTCATGACTGCTTGGTGTTCACAGTGCAAGGCATGGCTATTACACTCAATTTTGAGCTGTGCAGCCCTCCTGTTTGATTTACACATGTATTAAAAAGTGAAAAATTATGACCTTTAAAATGCATCAATAGGTGCATTATTACTGAAAGAAAATAGAAAAAAGAACCCTGCACTTCTCAACATATGTAAGAGAGTAATACACAGCTCAAAAATTCAATATTGTTCAAAGCTTTGTGGCTGTAAAAAGAAATGTTCCTCTCAGTCGTGTTGTTTGTTTCTTTGTTTGTTTTTTTTTTTTTCCCCTGAAAATTTATCCAGGAAGAAGTATTATCTTTCCCCAATTAAGTTCTTCAAAACTAATCCAGCTTCAGCAAACCTTCACAACCAAGTGAAAACCACAAAAGGTTTAAAAAGGAAAGTTGACATGTACTGTCTGGCACTGCTATTAAAAATTTTGTAGTATCTTTTAAAAGTTCTTGGAAATTACTTCATTATTTATTTTTTTCTCTTTATATCTTTGAGCTGAATTTCTGACAGACATATTAACATTTCCTTTGTTCATATTTGAGTGCTGAATTATCTTTAATTGCCATGAACATTCTGCCTGCATGAAAGAACTAATAAACCACTACTGTCAACTTTTGGATGCATATGTTCTGCTTATACATGAGGTATCAGGAGCCCCTGCTGGTCTAGTGGTAAAGGCGCCGCGCTATCACCGCGGAGACCCGGGTTCGATTCCCGGTCAGGGCCACTCCCGGGCAGGTGGGGCTCGTTAGCCCTTAAAGGCAACCCACCTACGTCCTAAGGACCTCGCTGCCACTGTCCAAGCTCGCTTGGCCCCGGCAGATGAACCTTAGGATTAAAGGGTGGGCTCAGTTCCGCGCACACTGTGTCTCACCTAAAAAATCCAATGCGCAGGCTGGAAGGTGGAAAGACCTTCCCCGGATCTTCGCTCGCGAAGACTGGCCATTATTATATTATATTACATGAGGTATCAAATACTGGGAAGAGGAAGAATTTACTGGAAGTAAATTAATATAAGTGGACCCAGGGGCCTTTGAGAATATAGGATGGATTACAGTTTAAGAAAAAAAATACTCATTTCTCCATAGACTTTTCAGAATTTTCTGCCTCTTTTATCACATGTCTAAGGAAAAGAAACAAATTTAACCTTTCCACATAATGGTCAAAATAATGCATTTTACTTTCTCTGAGATTGAAACCACTTTTCAATCTCTATACTGGGGGGAAATCATCTTAAAAATCTCCTTCCATTAACATGAGCAAAATACTTAAAATTTCTACTGATCTAGCAGAAAACAATTTTTAATTTATTTATAAAAATAGCCAATATTAATATTATTCAATATATCAATATTATTCAAATACTAATTACATATATTACATACATAATAATTACAGGTTATGATACAAATACTAGTTACACGTTGCAGACCTAACCATGCCATGTGAGGAAGTCTTCACATGGAAGTTGTGTGCAAATATAAAATACAAAATTGATTACAGGATAGTCTGGCTGTGTCGACCTGTTTGGATTGTTGGCCAGGAATAATACAACACTTTCACAAGTTGCCTGAAAGGAGAAATTCTAGCCCTTGTAAGCCCAAGCTTAAAGTCATTCCTCACTTCAAGACAAAGCAGAAGTAAAATTGCAAGCAGCCACTCTTCTGTGTCTCCATGTGGAAGGGCTCAGTAGCCACACACTGCACAAGACAGAAATTGGAACAATATTTGAAATCTGTAAAAGAGTCTATTTTTAATGTACCTGGATCAAATTAACTTTGGTAATAGCTTTCACATTATATCTATTACTACAGGCCATGTACCTCAGTTAGTCTTTGCTGGCATGTCATAATCTTTTTTAAATCCAAATGCATAATCTTTGTTCTTACAAAATTTGTCAGAAATTGTAATTTAAAGATATAAGAAAGCATTTCACAATTTAGTTAAATTACAGCCAGTAATTTCACCTGGGAAATTTAAAACTTCAGAATGAAAAGTTACTTTTTAATGAAAGAGTTTTGCTAGAAAGCTTGTTATGCTTAATGCTTTATTTTTTTCATTTTAAAATCATATTGAGTCTGACACAATTAATGAATAGCAAAAAGTATCTTAATAGCCCTTAACCAACAGGTCAACACTAAGCTATTTCTCTGACCAATTTTTCAGCTCAGTTGAAAAGCTGTGGTACCAGTGCTGCAGAGAGGTTGTTCCCATGGCCGTCATTATCTTTCCCTTGGTGACAGTCCAGCTGCCATATGTGCCAGCGTGCTGGATCAAGGCCTTCCACAACATCTCCAAGGCAACCCCATAAACTACTGTAAGGTTTGATTCACTGTCCTCTGATAAGCCACCAGGCAGGAGGTTGATAGAAAGATGTCTTGAACATTTTTCTCTCAGATTCCCTCTATTCCAAGTCGGTTCCTGTCCTTTGTCCCCAGTGTAGTCTTCCAGCTGGTTAGCAACTGGGAAAGTCCCTCAGACTCACTATTCTCCTATGCAGTAGGAAGTTGATCTCAAGAACTTTGCTTATATGACTGCATAAAACACAGACAGGACAGAGATAGGTACTGGATTCTTGTAATCCATATTTATTGTCAGCAGTCTTCACTAGCACAGCTTTTGTCCCTGCCACCTACCATCCCCCTTAAGCAACCCTGGACATATTTTGGAGGGACAGTAGCACAGGCAGAGGACTCTTCCCAGAAGATGAAATGCATCCTGCTTGGACTGTGAGATAGTATCATCATACACACACACACACACACACACACACACTCTCCCCTATATATGTGTACTCACACACATTTATATATAGTTTATACACATGTACACACATGCACATGCACATGGGCTCTACTGCTTGTCCTCTGAACCCAGCACAGCCTCTAGACTGTCTGGTTCAATAACCCAGACTGAGAGGTTCAGTACTTTCTACTCCACAAGAACAAATGCACTTTTAGACTCATTCATGGTGAAGAAAGTAAAATTCAGTATTTGGAATGTTTTCAATGAGGAAGATGGAAAACTTTCATAACAAACACAAGATAAATTGTTGGTTTTTTGGTTAATTTTGTTTCTTTTCTTACACTAAAGCCTTTCTCCCTTTTCCCATTGTAGATGAAGTGCTAAAAATACTCACTCTTGAATTGTATTCATTTTACCTTTATCTAGTACTCTTTTTCCAACTCCCAATCCCATACCAAGATGTAGCTATTTAGGAATTTTATCTGCGATTGCAATAGGAGCAGAAAAGGTGCCTAGGCAAAAAAAGAATGTATAGATCCATTCAACTAAAAATGAAACCTGGTAGTCTAACATGTTTTAAATAACTAGAACAGAAACTTGTATTAAATATAGTCACTTCTTAGAAGAAGAAGTAAATAAAAAATACTACCACTGCAGTCTGGAAAACAGTTTATTCTTTAGTTAGGTTTTGCTTGTCTGAGTGTGTTTTCATGCTTTGCTTTATTATGTGTTATTACTTAAATTTGAATTTTCCCACATCCCTCACCTTAACTTTCCATTTATTTACAGTTCTCTTCTGAACATATGCATTGTCTTCCTTGCCAGAGTCTCTCAATTTGTTTGAGCCACTGTTATATTAAATACTTAGTTAGTTTATTTCTCAAAAAAAGTTTATCATTTGGCATGGATGAAAAATACTATTGGGGCAGAAAAAAAAAAAAAGAAACCACACAAAAAGCAGCAAACCCAATTGTTACTTTAGAGTAGTTGCAATACTCTACACAATAACTCAATAGTTTCAAGACATTAGCAAGGACACAATTTTTGATCCTAGCTTTGAGCTGTCATTAAACTCAAAAGGAATGATCAATCAGGGTTAGAAAACAGAGTTTTTGAAACATACTCTTCTCTTCCTGAGGCTGTGCTGTGCACTAATTAACTTTATACTGTATTATTTGTCAGGTTATTGCTTATTTATGACAATATCAGCATTGATAATCTTATGAAGTATAGGTCACCATTACTTAATTATGCATGATCAAATCTAGGAATAATTTCTACACAGTAAAACAAAGCCTTCACAGAGGATGCACAGATGCCTGAGCTTAAAGTAAATATGGATATTTGGGGTCAACAGACTAGGCATGGTGGTTTAGCAAGATATCCACCCAGGAGTAGGGACACACCTAAATCACAGCAAACACTTCCTTGTTAGTTCTACCTTTTCATGAAGTTATTCTATTTCTGATTTAGTCTATTTGGGTCTTTTTACCATCCTCCATATTGCAGCATTACTGGTCTTGCTGCTAATTTTATTAATGTTGCTATTATCCATAAATTCCAGCAAAGCTCAGCTTGTAAATTCTTCTGGAGGTATTCCAGGCTAAAATGTGTCCTAAATTGGTGGTAGTTCCACTGAGCTCCTAGCACACGTGTACATGAATACCCATACATGCATGGAACATATACACAGTCATCCAAAACTACCAGCTACGAATCAAATGTATATAGCCTTGAACAACAGTTTTGTTTCTTTCGTGCCAAGAGTTTATTCCATTTGGATTTTTCTTGATTCTTCACTCAAACTCTGAAACTTACATTTATTTATATTTCTGGGTTGCCTGCCAAAAGAGGACAGCATAACTATGCCTCTCTGTAAAAGCACCTAACACCTAACAGCCAGGTGAGTCAGCAGCTCAGCTCTGCAGCCCTGGGTGATGCACTCAGACCTGATACAGTGCAACACTGCTGGTCTACTGAGTATTGCACCTCCAAATGGAATAGAAAAGATGAACCTTCTTTCTTTCACAAACTGAAGCTAAATAACAAAGTAGAAGATGATGATAAAACAAGAAACTTCAGTCTAAGCACTGTAAAGAGTCAGAAAAGAGAACAAATGCTGACAAAGAGGAAGTATTCTAAACATCAAACAG